GTGATCGTCTCAGTGGTGTTGCGTCGTGGCTTGCTTATGTCGGGATCAGCTTGTTGGGCAGCAGCCATAGCGGCTAGATCAATGTTGGCGCCAGGCGATAAGCTGATCTGCTGAATGCGTGAAAGCGCATCCGCGACGGGATTGAGAGCACCTGAGACATGACGTACGTCTGTCGTAAACTGAGAGACGTAGTCCAGGTGTCTAGTTTCCCGCGGAGAATACTTGTCTGTTGCGCCATTGATTGCGTAGATCAATGGCTTGTGGTCGGTGAAGACGGTGAAATGTTGACCTTCGAGGTAGTGACGGAAATGTCGGATACCTAGGTAGATAGCTAACAGTTCCCTACCGAAGGTGCTGTAACGCGATTCGGCAGGTTGTAAACGTTTCGAGAAGAAACCTAGAGGTATCCATCGATGGTCGATGAGTTGCTGAAGAACTGCACCGACGGCAGTGTCAGAGGCGTCAGTTGTCAGGGAGAGTGGTGCAGACGTGTCTGGATGGGCGAGAAGCGCTATGTTTGAGATAGTGTGTTTGAGCTTGTCGAAAGACAATTTAGCATCATCTACAAAGTGAAAAGACCGTTGTTTACCGCGGAGCAAGTCAGTCATTGGTTGAACAATGCTCGCGCAGTTGGGGATAATGCGTCTATAATAGTTAACCAGGCCAAGGAATCGGCGTAACTGCTTGAAGGAACTGGGAGCAGGATAGTCCTTCAGTGCCTGGATTTTGTCTGGCAGAGCTTCAATACCAGAGGCGGATATGCGGTGGCCAAGAAAGTTGATGTAGCTTCGGCCAAGCTCACATTTATCGGGGTTGACGGTAACCCCATGCTGGGTTAAGCGTTGGAAGAGAGCGTCGATTTGATGAAGATGTTCTTCATCAGAAGAGCTTGCGATAAGAATATCATCTAGATAAGGATAAACGCCTTCGAGTCCTCGCGTTACCTCATGAATGAAACGCTGAAAAGTTTAGGCAGCGTTGCTGAGGCCGAAAGGCATTCTGAGGTACTCGAATAGACCGAATGGCGTGATGACCGCTGTTTTGCAATGTCATCTGGCGCGACAGGTATCTGGTGGTAGGCACGAACTAATC